CATTTAACAAAGAAAATGCAGAGTGCATGCATTCAGTATCCTAATTTCTATGGATTTGTTTTATGGAATTTAAATGTGTACAAAACTGCATTAATTTTTTCTTTTATATAATAAATGAAAAAACACTGAAACCAGCGTTATACTTCTCCTTTATATTCTGAAATTTCATAGAACACCAGAAATCGTAAAGAATATTTCTGTGGGGCTGGAGCAGTTAAGAGCACTGACTGGTCTTGCAGAGGACCCAGGTTCAATTCCCAGCACTCACATGGCGGCTACAAACTGTCCTTAACTCCAGTTCCAGGGGAATCTGAAGCCCTCTTCTGACCTCCGTAGCATTGCATAACACGGGTGCACTCACATACATGCAAGCAATACACTCATACACACAAAATAAAAATAATAAATTAAAAAAGAATATTTCTATGCCTTTTATAGGAAAAGAAGCTGTACATTTACTCTAAAAAATAAATTCAATTATGTGACTACTTCCTGAATACTCTGCCAGAGTCTATAAGTGATCACAACAGTAATACTGCATTAGGTAAGAACTTTTAAGTTGTACACACACATAGAAAGTGAAATATATCACAACAAATGTGTGAAATCGGATTGAATATAGAAAGACATACTAGATAAACCTTACTGTGCTCAAGACACCTTTAAATAATCCGTGTAGCAGTTGCCAGAAGTTTTCAGAATGACAGCTCCGGAATTTCATGCCTGGTATATAGACTATGGCTTGATGTTTCACTCCCTTAGAGCCAGTTGCCTATGATCCATAACATGATTGGTCCATATTTGACTTTTCTCTCACTGTTTGTATAAGAAGTTTAAAAGAAATATGCACGATGTTTGTTGATCATTATCACTTTATTATAGCCAACTTATTCCAAAAACATTGTCACATTTAATATATCTGACCCCTGCCTGAAAAAACAGACAAAGCATAGACTATTAGACCCAATTACAATCAAGGAAACCAAAGCTCACTGTAACCTCTCTGAAATATTTTATTTAAAAATACATAATTAAATGCTTTTAAGCTAAGTAATAAAGTACCCAAAGCAATGTGCAAATACAGTGTTGACTATATGAATAATATTTCAGTTATTGGAGCAGTATTACATAAGACCACCCTTACTATCAAAGTATTTCAGTCAGCAGTCTGAAACTCCCAAGTGGAAAATAATAGTTCCACACTATTAACTACATTACATGGATATGCCTGAAACCACTTTATCCTTTCATTAGCACATTTCCACTAAACTATGGAAAGGAAAAAATTATTTTTTCATGTAGCACGCAGGTCAGCATACTGGTTAAACAGTGGACTCTAACCACTGCCTGGATTCAAAGTCTAGATCAGCAATAACCAACTACAAGCTGAGAAAATTGCTTAACTTCCCTGTGTTTGGGTCTGTTTCCGGAAAGGGACTGTCTATCGGCTACTATCTCATTTCCTTGTTTCCTTTCATGTCCAATAAATTTGTATTGATGATATTGCAAATTTTACATTATTGATGGGCCCAACTTGTATTCCTTTGTAGAATATCAAACTTGTTTCCACAGGCAGTTGCTCACTTGTCCAAAGTTTATTCACAGGCTTTTTAAAGACTGGTCTCAACCAGGGCATCTTCCTTGGCTAATTTCTTTTCTAAAGTTAAGGCTGAATGTCCTACATGTGATTGCATTCTCTCTGACTGAAGGGATCTCAAATGATCCCTGCCCCTTTATATTAATGACGCCTGACCCTAGAAATTATCTGGGAATTATTCTGTAACAATGCTGCTATATTTTCCTCCTAGAGATGGTTATTAGCCAGTTTCATCCTGCACAGGTACAGATTCATCTGCAAAGACACGATGGCCTCCTGGTCTAATTTCTCAAGTTTTTTCTGTCTTCCTTCTCTCAGTGACTCTGTTTCCTCAATTCTAGTCTCCCTGACCATGAAAGCAGAGCTGTAACTTTATGGTAAGAGACTGTCCTCTTATTTGGCCTTCTACTCCCTTTAGAGCTGGCTGGAAATTGTTTCTATTAAGGCAGAAAGACTAGCAATAGTATAACGCACAGTTTGTTTCTCTTTCCTCAGGGATCACAGTCCAAAACTATATGTTTTCCAGTATCTGCAAACAACTGTTTCTTGTGTTGCACCCAGTGTTCTACTTGTTGATAGCAGAAAGGTAAATATAGATTATCTATGCCCTCAGGCCTTGAAGCAGAAGTCTGATGACATTTTGCACTTGACTATAATTGATAGTCTTTCAAAGGTCTCAGAAGGACCATTTTCACAAATAGCTTGTCATCCCTCGTCAAAGACTCGAAACTACATCTATAGTAGCTCCAAGTATCTATGACCATAAAGTCAGTCAAGATTGTATTGGGCAAATTCATTCCTCCTCTGTTTTTGTGAGAGACACTTAAAAAATAGTCTAAGACCACTTCCTTAATATAGTAGTTGTAAAACACAAAGCCCTAACTTCACAAATGAATATGGGTCTGGCATGCATTTAATAAGTTACCAAAGATGTGTGGGAGTTTGCAGAATGTCTTAACAATTGCCAAAGCATTGCCTACATTATTTAAGAATGGAAATATTAAAGAGTTCATGTAAATTGGTTATGCAAACACTTTTTCTAAACAGCTTACAGACTATTAAGTAAATTCAGGTGTAATACTCCATAACTATGCTTAATAGTGTAATGATTTTCTTTTCTGCATGTCTCCTCTAAAGTTTGGTATTTTAACATATGCCCCCAAAAGAAGCCAAAGAAATTTCCATTTCACACATTGAGATAGTATGCAGTTAGGAGGAGTCAGGTTTGGAAAGGAACTTGCTGTTGTGGACCAGGGAGCACCTGGAAGAGCCTGTCCCACTTTTTCCCAAGTCCATCTTTTCTTTTCTTTCTTTCTTCCCCTTTTAAGCCAAAGTTAAGGAAGAGAAAAAGCGATGAAGCTGTTTCTGCTGTGTTTATTTTCGTGGAAGAAAGAAGTAAACAACCCTCATTTCACTTAGCCACCTCCAGCTTCTTACAAGAGTCAGGGCTACCACAGTCTCCAGGGGACCTAAATCAAGAAAGACCTCAGACAGAGATCACCCTAGAGATGTAACCTGCTCAGCTAAAATGAACCAAACAAAATCAACAAACAGAAAACTCGGAGAACACATATCAAGGTACCCAGTGCTTCGCTTGTATTTGTTTTCAACCCTATCTCCCACAGTGGGGGGACATCTGCATAGTGTGAGCCATAGCTGCTCAAACTGCAGACAAGAAGACAAAGAGAGTGCACTTGCCCATCTGTTTCACGGGAAGGTGACTCTTGGAATGAGAGGAAAAGCCATTTGTGAACAAGTGTCTGACCACAGTGTTTGGACTCTCCTGCTCGGATGGCTTTTGAGACCACTCAAGGTTTTTAAATAGAGTGACTTGATTGCAACTGTCCTGGGCAAGACTGACCAGAGAGTGGAGGGAGACTGGAGAGTAAAGAGCACTGAGGTGCAAAGACAGTAGTAAGAAGACAAACTGTGAAGTGAGAACACTGACCTCAACTGGGTGCCATAGGGTAACAGGCTCAAAGGAGATGTAAAACTTACCCCAACGGCAGGTCTTGGAACACCGAGTCAAGGACTTTTGGAAGTGTGTGAGGTTGGAGGTGGGCATAGTTTCCTATTTACATTGGCCTTTAAGGGTGCTGTTCAGGGACAACCTAAAACTTCCACCGGATGCACCTGCTCCCAGCCACTCCCGCAGCACCCAGGACGGTAGAGTCCGGGACAGCCTCCTGCACCAACCTGAGCCTCAGAGGCCACCCGGCCCGCCCCGGCCGCGCCTGCGCACTCCCCTTGCACCGCCCTGTTCCCGCCCCCTTGGTCGTCGCGGCCGCGGGAGTGGAGCAGGGGGAGGACGGTGGCCGACGAGGTTCCTCGCAGACAACGCGGCGGCGATGTCCGCGAGGCAGGCGGGTGCCGCGGCGGCAGCGGCGGGGCCTGGCGCGCGGCGGGACCGCCTGGACTGTGGCCTCCCTGCGGTTCCCAGGAAGCGGGAGGCTGGACGGCGCGGGAGCGGCGGCAGAGGCCCCGGCGCGTCCTTCTGCCCCTCGGCCTGAGCCCGGGCGGCTGGACGGGTCCGCTGCCCGAGGATGGGAATTCTCTTCACCAGGATCTGGAGACTGTTCAATCACCAGGGTGAGGGCCCGGCCGCAGGGTCACGGGCGCGTCCAGAGCGTGGGCGGCGCGGGGTGGCCACGGCTGCGGGGGGAGCCCGGCCCGCCGCCTTTGTCTTCCGGAGCGCCCGAGAAGTCCGGCCCGCATACACCCATTACTCGGATTGCATCCCGAGCCCGAGAGACGGCTTGGCCCACATCCCGGGTGTCCAGGTGGCAGGCCCGGCCGCTCTTTGAACCCTTTCGCCTGCCAGCAGTTGGGTTTGGACGCCGCGGAGAAACGCTGAGGTCTGGGACGGAGGTCGGAGGTTCTGGCCCTCCCCCGCCCCTGAGCAAGCCGGGCTGCAGAATACGGAAAAAGGGAAGTGGTCGCGCCGGGGTGGTGCGAGGCGCTGCGGACTTCCCAGGCTGAGTTCCGCGCTCAGCCCACTTTGGGGGAGGGGCGCGGAGACTCACGCCTCCCGAGTAGTGATAGATTTCGCTGGTTTGCCAGGTTTTTAATCTGTGGTAAAGGTCAAGCTTAAGGTCACTTTCCTGCTTGAGTTATTGGAGTGGTCGTGGGACGGGGCGCTAATTAAAGCGTTTCACTGAAAGCTTTCCAAAACATACTATGTTAGACATTTGTTAGCATTAGGTAACTGGGAAGTTACTGTTTAAGTTCATCTAAACCCAGGCATTGCCGTGGAATGCATAGGGAATTGATGGAAATGTATTACAAAATGAGCGAGTAAAATTGGAGAAAGAATACAATTTCGCAGAACTACATAGTTACCGAGACGGAATGTAGTGGGTTTTTTTTTTTTTTTTTAAAGCCCAAGTTGCAATTTGTCATTCCTTCTGTCCAGTTAATTTTTTTTTGTGCGAGCTGGCAGTGTTGTCACATCCCCACGTTTCCCAATTAAAACTTAATGAACGGTGGTGCCTGTTTTTAGAGCCACTACCTGCTTCCCCCTCCTCCGTGATAGAACTGTTGTAGAGACTGAGCCTAGTAATTCCCAGTGGGTTTCCTTTTGGTTGTTACCCTGCCTCACCTGGCCTGGAACTCTGCATACCAGGCTGGCCTGGATCTCAGATCCGCCTGCATCTGCCTCCCAAGTGCTGGGATTAAAGGCATGCAGCAGCATGCCTGGTTTACTTTTTGCCTTTTTAATTAAAGATAGCAGTTTAGATCACTGACTGACCCTAAATGGAGTGGAAGGTGATATTTTATAAAGTGGAGAAAAGCCGTTCCAATCATCACTGCATTTGATCAGCTGTGTGTCTGGGAACTTCTGTGGATCTAGACTAGGAATTTGTGGGGCTTATAGATTTTGAAAATGTAATCTCTAGGTTTTAAGTACTAAAGGTTGCATTGCTGTAAAGCCGGTGCTGCTTATTAGATAAGGTCTATTCTTGTTCTGCCTTCATAATTTTGAATTTAGCCAAGCTACTGTTTCTTCTGCTCTGAAGTCTAAAAAGGCTTTGCTCATTAACTGAACTCTGTTACTGCCTTCGCTATCTACTTTAAGTCAGTGATGAAAATTGTTTCTGTAAGTTAATGAATTAGAACTTTGCCAACAGCAGATTGCCAGGAGTAACAAGGATGTGCATTATCTCACTACAGATCTTTTATAGTAGTGCTTGGACAACCAGCATTTTGTGGTAAGTTTTGTCTGGACACTTACTTTGGTGTTTGGAAATTAACAGAGGAATTAATAAAGTTACATTCTGGAAAATTACCAGTCAGATTGTGAAAATGTGATTTTACCACAGCTGTGTGACCAACTCAAGCCTCGGTTTCTTTTTCAGAGAAATAAATGACTTACAAGAACTATTGAAACTTATTTTGGGGATGTGAAATTAAATGATTTCTCTTATTAAATGGTGTTTTATCAGCAGAGTAACTTCAAAATAGTTACTATTTAGTCTAATTCTAGATATTTGTTGGTCTTTTTGGCTCCTTGTTAAATTGGACATATAAGTCAGGTATGTCTAAGATTTTTTATTTCACAAGAGATTCCGGTCATTTTCACAGAAACTCCTGGAAAGATGCTTTGGGGGAATTGTAGGATTTGTTAGTGCGGATGAAACTGGGCCAGATCTCTGCTCTTTTGAAACCCCTTCAGAGCACCTTTCCAGTTAAAGTTTAAATTTAATGCACAGTGAAAAAGCTAATTGCATAGTGCTCAAACTAGAGCTTACTTTTAGGTTATCCTTAGATTGAGTAGAGCACAAACTTCACTCCAGATGTTGTCATTTATATCATAAAAATAATTTGGGGCGGTGGGGGGGGGGCAGCAGTTCAAGCCAGCCTAGGCTACATGAGACTCTGTCTCAAAAATATTTCAACAGTCCTGTAAGTCCTTATTTCCCTGGAAAAAAGAAAGGGGCCTCGTTTCATATATTCTCTCTCTCTCTCTCTCTCTCTCTCACACACACACACACACACACACACACACACACACACACCCCTTTATAGGATAGCAAATCAAATAGATTGGAACTGACTAATGCTGGTGTGCACTATAAAAGAGGCTGTGGGAGTTCCCTGGCCATCACCTTCTCCTTGGTTCTTAGAAAGGGAATCACACGTTATGAATGAGTGATGGCAGAGCTGTGCTGCAGAGATCTGGTGCTGGTGCTGAGGAAGTCGTCTCTGCTTCTGTTTTTGTTGTTTGTTCTTTTTTCAAGGGAGTTCAGACATGCAGAAGAATATGTAAGGAAGGTGAGTAGCCAAGGAGTAGGCTGTACCCTGTCAGGATGCTGTCTCTAGCTCCAGATGAACCCTTTCTGGTTCTCTGTGGGAAGTTGGCACAGAGCTGAACTTTGTTGTAGACAGCACTAGAGGGATTTTTTTTTTTTTTTTTTTTTTTTTTGGCTACATCTGCTCCTAGGACAGGCCCTGTTTATACCACAAGCACCTTTCCCCTTTTTCATTTTATTGTATTTTCCATCTCCTGATGGGTCTCTGGTTTTGCCATGTATAACCTTTTTTTCTCCCAGCAACTTCTTAGTAGCCAGTCTTTTCTCTCAAAGTTTCATTACTGTTGCTATACATAGCAAGTTCATTTTCAAAGTTTTTTTTTAAATTGATGATGCTTTTTAGTTCTGAAAATTGAAGTTTTAGTAGAATGGCTTGATCAGATAACTCCTTCCTAGCCCTTATCATCTTCCAGGCCTAATGTCTTTGTTCACTGAAAGATACTTATTAAGCACATGCTTTATTTCAGGCTCTGCACTGACCGAGAGCAGTAGTGACATGGCACATGGATCCTTTGCTCTAGTAGGCCTATCGAGCCATTTGACATTACAGCACAGTGTTGTAATCTACAAAGTTCACACTAAGAACTGCACAATCGACTCACAAAGACAAAAATAACTCTCATAATATTTTAAGTTTATGATTTTATGCTGGGCCACATTCAAGTTATCCTGGGGCATAGGCAGAATTGAGACACTTACGGATCCTAGAATCAATAAGGGCAAGTGATGATTGCTATTTGTGTTTTCTAACTTTGTATGATTCACAGAGATAGAAGGTCTCTACATGACAGTTATTTTTTTTTTATTTTTTTCTTGCTTAAATTTATGGAGTGGTAGTTGAGGGGATATAAACTTAGAAACAGGTAACAAATGGAACTAGTAGGCTGCCTGTGTGTGTCAAAGGAGAAAGGAAAACAAAAAACAAGAAGCATTTTTTATGGCAAAATAGTATTGATTGGTAAATGAAAGCCCAAACGATGATAACCCAGGATCCCAGCAAAATTTAACAGCATGCCGATGTTTGGGCTTTCCTCAAAATGGAGGAGTACTCGAGAAAAGTGCTCTACGAGAAAAGTCCTATGAAGCAGTAAACATGTGATGATTCACCTGTCCTAGAACTGGAATGACAGGATTTATTAACATTCATCCTCAGTAGCATTATTTCTTAATGTGCATGCTATATTGTAGGTGCTGTGGAGTGTCTGTCTCTAAGCATATTGTAGCATTTATAAATTCATAGCACTTGCTGGCTACAGATTATGTTCTGCTATATAGAATCTCTTCCATCTTGGTAATGAAAGACCAAGCGGTGAGAGGGCATAATAGGAAGATGATTTAAATCCTATCATTGGGAATAAGCTAGTTTGTGACCATTGAGTGGCCACCTCTGTCTTTGAGCCATTTATACATCTATGTGTTAATTTTATGGTTCACATTATGACTAATATGTCATATCTTAGATTTGTTCGGGAAGCTACTAAAATAGTGGGTGGTGCTTTATTGTAAATAAAGTTAGAAGTGAAAGTGGCTTGTAGATGGGAGGCCAAGTGAGTGGGGGAAGAGCCTCTGGATTACAGATTCTTCCTTAGAATGGACTTCCAAAGAGATCTCTGAGATCTATGCAGAGCCTGGGGTTCCTTGGAGATTTTTTAAGTTCTAAACACACTTGATTTGAGTTTCTTTCCTTATCTTTTTGAAGAATTAAGCATTTTTAAAAAACCTTATATATTAGCTTATGTCCTAGTTTGTTCTTCATTGCTGTGACAAAATACTCTGACCACTACCAACTTGGGGAGGAAAGGGGTTTATTCAGCTTACATCTCCCAGGTCACAGTTCATCAGGGAGCCCAAAGTAGGAACTCAGGGCAGGAACCTGGAAGCAGGAGCTGGAGAACAGGCCATGGAGAAATGCTGCTTACTGGCTTGCTCCCCTGGCCCCTGCTCAGCCTGTTTTCTTATGCAACCCAGGCCCACCTGCCCATGGGTGGCACCACCCACAGTAGGCTGGGCCCTCCCACATTACTTGGGGAGGAAAGGGTTTATTGTATCTTATACTGAAGATGCCCCTCAGACATGGCCACAGGCCAGTCCAATAGAGGCAATTCCCCAATTGAGGCTCCCTCAACCCAGGTGTGTCAAGTTGACACTAAAGCTATCCAGCACAGCTTACATTCCCTTGGTGACTTTAGGAATTGAGTTGGGGGGTTCTGTTTGCATATTTATGTATTTGATAGTTGTTCTAGTTAGCTTTCTCTTGCCATGATAAAACACTGACCAAAAACAACTTGGGGAGGAAAAGGTTTATTGTATCTTATACTTCCAAGTGACAATCTGTCATTGAAAGAAGTCAGGGCAGGAACTCAAGGCAGGAACCTGGAGGCAGGAGCTGAAGCAGACTCTGGAGGAATGCCACTTACTGGCATGTTTCCCCTGGCTTGCTCAGCTTCATTTCCTATAGAGCCCAAGCCCACTTGCCTCCGTATAGCACTGCCCACCATTACATCAAGAAACAACAATCAAGAAAATGCCCCACAGACAAGCCCACAGGCCTATCTGATGGGGGAAATTCCTCACTTGAGGTTCCCTCTTCCCAGGTATCTCTAGTATGTGTCAAGTTGACAAAAACTAACCAGCAAAATGGTGACATGGAAATTAGTTGAATTTGTAAACTTAGGTAGAAGAGTAAGGTAGTCTTCACAATGTTAGCAATATTAGATACAAAGTCCAAACTAGATGTGGGGGCACACACCTTTAATCTCAGCACCCAGGAGACCAAGGCAGGCAGATCTCTGTGAGCTCCAGGCCAGCCTGGTTAATATAGTAAATTCCAGACCAGCTGAGGCTACATAGACCTTATCAAAGGAAAGGTCAGGGTACCAAGTAAACCAGCTTGTTTGAATTTCTGTATGCAAGTTAGGAAACTGATCCTGGGGGCATTGCAAAATGTATTCCTAGAAGTTAGAACTAAGCTGATAGTTGCAGAAGACTCTCAATTTAAAATCAGTATTCAAGTAGAAAATTTTTTGTTTGTATTAATATCTTTGTAGGTGATTATACTAATAGAACTAGAGAAAACATGTCATCAAAAGGGACATGTTTAAATTTTTGACAAGAAAAAAAGTATTCTTAGAAAGGCGGAGTTGTGCAATTTAAAACCTTCCCTGGAAGAAAGGTGCCTAGCTCTGACTCAGTTATCTGGCCCCATGAGGTGTGGCCCCACTGTAAAGTGCCAATTGTGGTCAGCACAGCCTGGTCAACTCTTTTGGTTGGAATTCTATGCTCCACACAATTCTTACTGCAATTCAGCTATAATATATACTTTTTCTCAGAATTGATTGGTCATTAGTGCTTTATTATAAAAATGTAAAAAAATAGAAAAGTAACTTAAAAAAAAAACTGAAGTCCACAATCTCTGGGAGAGAACTGTTAACTGGTGTGTAGGTTTTAGGCCAAGGTGAGGGAAACTGTACTTGTCAGCCAGTTTGAGTTTGTTTTGTTTTGAGATGGCATCTTACTGTATCATCTAGGCCCACCTAGAACTTGTGATCTTCCTGTGTCAGCCTCCCAAGTAGCTGGATCACAGCCATGAGCCACTGCCCTCCGCTTGTCAGGAAGCTTTAAGCATGTCTTTGTGGTACGAGTTGGCATTCTTATATAATACTCTTTTTGGTGTTGCTTTCTCTGAGTTTGTCTACTCTAGAGTAGTAGCGGCATTGAGTTTGTGGACTTGGGAGCCCTAAATTCCCAGAGGAATGTCACCTGGTGATGCCTCTTGACTTTCCTGTAGCATGCCAAGCACATATTAACCCTTCACCTTCAGACAGTATCAGTTCTCAGTTCCATTGCCCTAGGCATCTCTTAACAGGAAAGCCTGTGGGCCTGAGATCTTTAAATGAGACTGAAAATCTGTATGAGGATGGTTGTCATGTTGCTTGAGGACTATAGTGGTTCTCAGCTGCCTATGGGTGACCGAATAAAATGGATTGAGCTAAATTTCTCTATTACTTGGCTTCCTTTCTTTTTTTTTTTTAAGCAACAGGAGTAGCCTTAGGGTTCCCCTCTGTGGTAAATGATAACGATTTGTGAAAAAACTCAGTTATTAAGATCTCCTTACTCAAAGGTAGACTCCTCAACATTTATTGTTTATAGAATGAGTGGAATATTAATTAACATTAAGTACCTACCTTGTGCCAGGAAGAATTATAGTCACCAGGATTACAAAGAATATATTCTGTACATTTGAAGGGTACCTCATTAAGCTAAGATTTATACACATATAAATAATTAAGTGCTATGTTAGAGGAATTGTAGAAAAGAATGGAAAACTAGACCATAAAAGATTAGAAGGGGGCTAGGGAGATGACTCAGTGGTTAAGAGCTCTGACTGTTCTTGCAGAAGACCCGGGTTTGAATCCCAACACCCACATGGTGGTTAACAACCATCTGTAACTACAGTTCCAGAAGATCTGATGCCATGTTCTGGCCTTCACGGCCATTGTACAACACAGATATACTAACATACATGCAGGCAGTACACTCATACACGTAACATAAAAATAATAAAATTTTTTTTGCTTAAAAGAAAGATTAGAAGTTCTTTAAGGGAAGAATTATGGAGGATTATCTCAGGATAAGGAGAATCCAGAATAGAAGTCAAATACTTGCTATGTGTGTGTTTTCCAGGAGGGGCAGAGTTTGAATGGATGCTTAGGTAGCTGATGAGCTGGGAGTGTGACTGTCTTCACTTGCCAGGCTTAGACCTTGGACAGCCTTTCAAAACTGGCGAATCATAACCGAAGTAAGAATGGCATAGCCATCATTATAGTGCAAAAAATTACTTTGGAAACAATGTAGAGATAGACCACTTTGGAAAGGTTTCAAAATAAGCCACAGAGAACAGTTCAAGGGAGGAGGCAGGTTAAGACTGTAGTTTTGAGATGGAATCAATACAACTTGATAATGGGATTTTGGAGTTCAAGGCAAGACTCAACAAATTTCTAGAGCATCAGAAATAATGATAATACCATTAAGCAAATTAGTTAAGACAGAATTAGAAACAGGTTTGAATATTAGATTTTGGATATGGGGCATGGCGATGTATTTATCCTTTTAGATAGATTATAGAATTTAGGAGGAGTTTGGGAACACAGTAAGATTTGTCTCTTGAGGCTGGTACTGCTATGTGCTCCCTAAATTGTTACACGATCCTGAAGGATAGGTGGTATTTCCTGGGTTTTATAATAAAGAAACTGTCTTCCAGTGAGGCCCATTGATATGTGTAACTAGTAGGTGTTAATTATTGTGATAATTTAAAAAATAAATGGGTCAAAGAAAACAAAGTTGCATAATTCCATGAACCTTTCTACAGTGGGCCTATTCCTTATTGCTTTATTAAAAAAACAACAACAACAAAAAACTACTCCTTAGTTTTGTGACTGAAAACAGCAGTTTAATATTACTTTTCATGTTTTGTACAATCACTGACCTCAATTAGAAAGCTCTACCTTGAGAACGTCTATTGTAATCAGATGGCAGCTGGAAGTATCTAATGCTTTGTCCAAGCTGCATATTCAAGGTGGCTTCTTGATGCATGTGTCTAGCCCCAGCTGGAATCGCTGAAAGAGTGAGCAGCACATAGACTCTCACTACACTGTTACACTCCCCCATCAGCCTGGTCTACTCACTCAACTGCACAGCAGGCTTGCATTTGTTGGAGTGTCTGCTCATCTGCCGCAAGGTTTCCTGGTGACCCATGGTCTCACACCTTTCCTTCTGCATTCTGTGAGTTAAGAGTGAGTCCCGGGTCAGCTCAGAGTCACAAAGAGCATATTCAAGGGTATGACTATCCAGAGACCATCTTTGAAGACTAACTGCCTCCACACTGTTGTCTTTTTGGAACTTTGTTTTATTTATTTTTTTTTTATGTGTATGACTATTACCTGCATGTATGTAAGTATACCTGTGTCATGCAATGGCCATGGAGGCCAGAAGAGGGTGTTGGATCCCCTGGAATTGGAGTTATGGACAGTTGTTAGCCACCATGTGGGTGCTGGCAGTTGAACCCAGGTCCTCGGCAAGAGCAGTCAGTGCTCCTAACTCCTGAGCCATCTCTCCAGCCCCTTGGGATTTGTTTTTATGAAGCCTAAGGTGCCTTGCTAGTATGTGAAAGTGGGTGCAAGAAGGCATCCTGGGGAGCATGTACTTAAAGGAAGAGGAATCACTTGAAAGAGAAAAGAAAGGAAAAGAAGAAAAACAAGACTAGAGACTCAGGAAGAAAACTGAGGAAGTATGGTGCCACAGAAGTCCCTGCCATCATAGTTGTAGGTCCTTAGATTGTTGTAACAGCTCTGTGATTTAAATATACTTACATCATTTACAGTTAACAATGGAAAAGACTATTTTTTCCCTTTATCCTCATTGCACATATGGATGCCTAAAATTCCACAGAACTTCAGTGACAGTATCTTAAGTCCTTTGTAGATTGTTGTGATTACACTTGGGCCCACTTGCTGAGAGTAGATTCATAGGCCTAAAAAGAATATAGTGCTTCTGGCTGCCTAAAGAGGCTGTTAGAAGGTGAGACATCTCTACTGTGTAGAGGGAGGGCAAGGGAGGGCAATGGAACCCAAGAACACACTTCTGATGCTTGCTGGAGTATTCTCTTGAGGTCTAAGAAGGTTAAAAACTGCCATGCACTAAATTATACTATAGAAAGAAAGAAAAATGAAATAGGGGAATGTTTCTGTGTGTGTCTATAGTAAGTCAATTTTGGTTTCTTTATTTCAGAGCACAAAGTTATCATTGTTGGGTTGGATAATGCAGGGAAAACTACCATTCTTTACCAGTTGTAAGTATTAATGATTTTACGATTTTATTTTGTATTTCTAGTTACTTTTTATGCTTCTTTGGTATTTGATCAGTGAAAGTAATGAAAAATTGTATGGATGCAAAGTTACTCTGTGAGAAGATTGATGTAAACCAGGAGCCAGATTTAACTAACTAACTGTGGTGAGCTTGAAATTTAGACGACATTGAGCCATGCTCATTATTTTCATTGAGCTGCTTTTGTTTTTAGGAAACAGGAAAAGTATATGTTTCTATAGTTTCCTGAAATGATCTGTAATATTCTTAAGCATTATCTAGTTAGTTCTGTTTCTGTCCTCAGCCAACTCTTTTGTATAACCTAGTGGAAAAAGGATATTTGGGCATAAAATAAAAAGGATGGTTTGTTGTTTTGTCCCTTGATTTAAGAATTATTTGAATGAACCAGTTTCCGTACTAATTATATGAACTTTTCCCCTGCAGTTCAATGAATGAAGTTGTACATACATCCCCTACAATAGGAAGTAATGTGGAGGAGATAGTGATTAATAATACACGCTTCCTAATGTGGGATATTGGTGGCCAAGAATCTCTTCGCTCTTCCTGGAATACTTACTATACTAACACAGAGGTAATGTTTCTTCATATACTGAAACTTCTTGAACATTCTGAGTCCTTGAGAAGCATTTAGATTTGAATGGTTATAATCCTTTACAACATGACACTATTTTGATTTATAGAGTGTAAGTTTAGTAGAGTCTTTCATCCTCATTTCAAGATCCTTATCTGTATATCCATCACTGAATTAGTGGTTGATTGATCAGATTGTGTGAGCCTTGAACTTGTCCCAGGTATTTTCTTTTATAATGGTTTCCATCTCATAATTTCTCTGTTTCTTTCTTGTGATTTATATTTGGCTAAGTGGGAGAAATCCTAAGGGAAAGGGCTGTGGTTTAAATTTTAGCCAGTCTTACTGTGCATTTCTTTTATGTAATGCAGATGTACTTGATTATAAAGCATTTGAGACATAATTGTATTTTTTAAAATTTTTTAAAATTTATTTTTATTTTATGTGTATGTGTGTATTGCTTGCATATATGTAAGTGCACCCGTGTCGTGCAATGCCAGGGAAGACAGAAGAGACTGTCAGATTCCCTGGAACTGGAGTTACGGACAGTTGTTAGCTGCCATGTGGGTCCTAGGATTTGAACCTGGGTCTTCTGCAAGGACAGCCAGTCTTCTTAACCACTAAGCCATCTCTCCAGCCCCAATCAAATGGTTTTATTTACACGTTACTTTCCAAGAGAAAATTATGCCAATTGTTTTTGTAGTATGGATTATAAAGCCTTAAGAATTTTCTAAATGGAGCTAGAGAGATGGTTCAGTGGCTAAGAGCACTGACTGCTCTTGCAGAGGACTGGAGTTTGGCTCCCAGCACCCACATGGCAGCTAACTGTCCATAATTCCAGTTCCAGAGGATTCAGTGCCATCTTCTGGCCTTGCATGCACACAGTGTACTTACATACATGCAGGCAAAACACTCATACATATAAAATAAAAATAAAAAACTAAATTTTAAGAAATAGTCTATAAACATATAAGCTGATGATTAAGTCACTAATAACCTATTAAATGTCTCTAGTGGCCTGGCCCCCTACACTCCATTAGCATTTAGCAATATTTTTTAGAGAAAGAAAGATATGTATGGCTATAAAGGTGTAATAGTACACACACACACACACACAAAACACTACAGGTATTGAATTACATCAACATCTTGGTATATTAAAATACCTTGCAATAGAATGCACATTATAGTAATAAAGTCTCCTGTCAGTAAGCCATCAAACGAAATCTTAGAGTTGATGAAAACTGAGGAACAGAAAAGATTGAAAATTATGCTGGTGTATTTGGAAATTAGTATCTTGTTAAAAAAAAAAAAGGTGCATTTTAATAATAGATAACTTGGGCATCCTCAATATATTAACCTTACATTTGCTCCTGTCCTCGTCTTGGAGCTGAAGGACAGTGTGGTGGACCGCCCATGTAGCTGGTCTGAAACTTGCTGTGTAGACCAGGCTGGCCTTGAACTCACACATCTGCCTGTCTCTGCCTCCTGAGTGCTAGAATTAAAGACGTGCACCACCACACCTGGCTTGAAAGTAATTTTTAAAAGTGATTTAGCTGCCACATTAATCCTGTACACATCTCCTTTTAGATCTTCATATGATATTGGTAATAGTCTGTCCGCATATAGCCTTTATGTTTTCAAAGGATATTAGTAATACCTGTCCACAAACGACTTACACTTACGACCATAACATGTTTGTTTTGTTTTGTTATGTTTTTTAATTGATTTATAGTGAAAATACAGGGATACAGGGATAATAGTCAAGATAGTAATTTTGAAAATGTGTTCTAGTTGGGTTACAGGGTTAACACTGTGTTCTTTTGTTTTCTTTTCAAGACTACAGGAAGTATAGTATGTATCCCTGGTGTTCTTAAAATACTGTAGATTCTAATGTCTTAGTATTGGTGTCATGTAAATCAAATATTCACTTTATGAATTTTCAAATATCAAATTAGGTGGCCACTAATTTATTTTTTTTGTAATTATTTTAGTTTGTAATTGTTGTTGTGGACAGTACGGACAGAGAAAGGATTTCTGTGACTAGAGAAGAACTCTACAAAATGTTAGCTCACGAGGTAAGCCACCTTTTATATCAGACGTCACATTTGTTCTTCTCAGCTTCTCGTGAGAAGGGGGCCATTTCAGCTTCTCTCTGTTCCCTGCCCCCCTCTTGTGCATGCACGTAGGATCTCACTGTGTAGCCCTAGCTGGTCTAAAACTTGCTGTGTAAACCAGGCTGTCATTGAACAGATGTCCTACTGTCTCTGTCTTGAGGGCTGGGACTAAAGACATGTGCTACCACACATGGCTCGGGGGAGGGGGTTGTTGTTGTTGTTGTTGTTGTTGTTGTTGTTGTTTTTTAAGAATTATTCACCCGTTGGTTATGCCTGCTGTGTGATTTTGATACTTCCCAGATTTGAAGTGTGTCTAGAAACTAGGAAAAAGATTGTGTAGCCAGTTGTAGGCTTACTTTATTTAACCTAGATAAATTTGATTTAGAATTTTCACTAGGTAAAAAGAATTCTGCAAGTAGCTTTCATTTTATATTTTGGATAGGTTAATCATACAAAGGATTATCATTAGAAGTAATATTTTTAAGCACCTGCATACATAGCAGTTCTTGATTATTTTCTTAGCTCAGACTAATATTTAAATGTAATTGCTTTTAGGTTTCTCTGATACTGTCCCTTTGACCAAATGAAATTGTATCAGTAGCTTATTATTATGTAAGCTCTTCAAAAATACTACTAGTCACAGAAGTCAAAACTTAAACTAGGGCTGTAGATGAAGCTCATTAACAAACTGCCCTGCTCTGTGTGTGTGTGTCTGTCTGTCTGTCTGTCTGTCTGAATTCAATTCCCAGCACTGCAACAAAAAACTAAATAATAAATAAGACAGGGTCTCCCTGTAGCCCCAGCTGGCCTGGAACTCACTATGTAGACCAGGCTGGCCTTGAACTCACAGAGATCCACCTGCCTCTGCCTCCTGAGTGCTGGGTAAAGGCGTGCGCCACCACGCCCAGCTTTAAATAAAATATGTTTAAAGGGGTGGGGCTAGAGAGATGCCCCAGTGGTTAAGAGCACTGACTGTTCTTGCAGAAGACCTGATTTCATTTCCCAACACCCACATAACATCAACTAACAACCATCCATAACTCCAGGAGATCCAGTGCCCTTTTCTGACCTCCACAGGCATTGCACGACATGGGTATACTTACATACATGCAAGCAATACACTCATACACATAAAATAAAAAATATTTTAAAAATACAACTGAATAATATAGTCATCTTTAAATAATACAAATTATGGAATATAATATTCACTCTAATAAGTTTATTTTTAATGCCATTTTAAAATTATTTATTTATTTTTGGTCTTTTTGAGACAGAGTCTCCCTGTAGCCCCAGCTGGCTTAGAAGTCACTATGTAGACTAGGCTGGCCTTGAACTCAGAGATCCACCTGCCTCTGCCTCCCAAGTGCTAGAATTAAAGGCATGAGCCACGCCTGGCCTTTAATGCCATTTATTATAGGTGGGAATAGAAAATGTAATATTTTAATTACAACTCACAAGGCAGCTGGACAGGCAGGAGAGTCTCCTCTCCCCGAGTTCTTACTACTTACATGACCTTGGGATAGTACTTTATGAACCTTTAAAGTTTCAGGAACTTCCTGAGACTTGTAACTTTTGTTTGAGTCTTCACCAGCCTTCCTCCATAATGATGTTTCAATTTGGAGAAAATGGCTGCACAGCACTCTACTTCTTCTGGCTTTTGCATTCTTTCTCCCTCCTCTTCTGCAGTGTTCCCTGAGCCTTGGAGGGAATGATAGAAATGTTTGGTTATTTCTCTCCACCTATCACTAAGTTTTGGGTCACTATGCCATAGCTGACAGCCAGCTTGGTAGGCTGTAAGTCTCTGCAGGACACTGTTGCAAAACACTTTCCCTCCATGGCCTCTTGAGGCTGACAGCAGCAATAATCTGTGACTATGAAAAATATTTCAAAGGCAGTTTGATAAGCATATCACATCCTTTTTTTTTTTTTTTTTTTTTTTCCTTTGGTTGTTTTGAGACAGGGTCCCCCTGTAGCACCAGCTGGCCTGGAACTCACTGTAGACCAAGCTGGCCTGGAACTCACAGAGCTCTGCCTGCCTCTGCCTCCTGAGTGCTGGGACTAAAGGTGTGCGCCACCATACCTAGCCACATCACATCCATTTAAGAAAACAATAGCAGTGGTTTCCGTTCAGGCTTAGCACTAGATGTTTCTTCCTTCCTGTGGAATGGGCATTTGGTTGTACCCATAACAATCATACTACTATTGCACCAGTGGGACCATCCTGCATGGCATGTTAGTATTATAGTATGCAAAATCTATAGCCAAGCAGGACTATTGATGACAGTTCTTCCCCTGGCAGCTAGCAAGGTACCAGCCAGTAGGAAAGGAGCTTCTAGTTCATTACCAGCCTGATAATTCCATATCCTACAGCCAAAGCATGCATTGTCTTCACCAATAAGGGCTTATCTGGTTCTGGCATGCAGCCAATAGCAGTGGCCACAGCATAGAGCCCGATGGAATATTAAGGAAAATAGGAATTTTAATGCTTGCTTTCTCCTTCTGTGTCTGTAGGCAAATTTCAGCTGACAAGTTTATGGTTAAAACACTAACACAGCTAGCTGGAACCACTAGCCTTGTGTCCTGATGAAAATTCCTCAGTTCTGTTTTTCTCAGATGGAGACTTCTGCAATGATTTTCAGACAGGATGTTTTTAGTATTTGTTTTCTTTCTGAATTTATAATTTGCCTAATTTTGAGATTGTACTGATAGCCAGTCAATATGTAAGTTTCCTTCTCACTGTAACCCAGTGCCCAAGGTATAAAAGATGTGTGCTACTTCCCTTTGGGGTCTAGATTTTTGGCTTGAGCCTGCTGGACCAGGCTGCAGCCTAAATGAAATACTTGCTTCCTGAATACTTCCCAGTGTCCAGCCTGATCTTTCCCACAATAGCCATAACCTTTATAATTCCTGAAACCTAGGGCCCAACCAACAACAACTTATTGGGAGGTAGCCTACCCTCATACTGGGATTTTCACCCCAAATCCTTATGGCTCCCAGGAGTGCCCTTTCCAATTCACACAGTGTTTTAGTTTCTTTTCCTGTGGCTGTGATAAAGAATAGTTTGGCAGCTGGGCGTGGTGGCACACGCCTTCAATCCCAGCACTGGGAGGCAGAGGCAGGTGGAGCTCTGTGAGTTCAAGGCCAGCCTGGTCTACATAGTGAGTTCCAGGACAGCTGGGGCTACAGGGAGACCCTGTCTCAAAAAGACAAAAAAAAAAAAAAAGAATAGTTTGGCAAAAGCAACTTGAGGGAGAGATGGGTTTATCTTGGCTTACAGTTCCAGAAGGATACAGGTCCATCATGGTGGGGAAGTCATGGCCACAGGCAGGGAAGGCATGATGGCAGGAGCCGAAAGCTGGCTAGTCACATAGCATCCACATTCAGGAATTCAGGAAGCACAGAATGTCAACAGGGAGTAGAACTTCGTTATAAAGTCTCAAGGTCTACCCCTGGTAATTCTCATCCTCCAGCGAGGCTGTACTCTTAAAAGTTATATCACCTTCCCAAACAGTGCCACCAGCTGGGTACCAAGTGCTCAGACATGTGAGTCCATGGGGGACATTTCACATTCAAACCACAGCACAAAGTACCTTCATTTAAACTCTCGCTGTCTTCACTGTGTTTTGGGGGGTTTTTTTGTTTGTTTGTTTTTGTTTTTTTGTGTGTGTGTGTGCGTGTGTGTGTATGTGTGGTTTTTTTTTTCTTTTTCCACATCTGTAAGATAAGCGTAAGCATTGTGTGATAGACTCATTTTACAGAGCGTAACAGAGTATAGACAGGATCTCTGAAAGACTACTGTCCCCTGTCCCAATCAAGTCTTGGATGGTTGAGGGGACTAAAAAAGAAACATCAGCAGAATCTAATGTAGCATGAAAAGATCACATCACTTCTTATCAGTTTCGTCAAAAGAGCAACAGTGGCATGGATGGGAGGCTTTTCCCCATTCAGTCCTCCAAAATCCAGACTTTCACATGTTGCTTTCCTATTGTAATTCATCCTTCAAGCAAGTTCCAGCCAGCTCAGCCTCATTTGCATGCTTTATTACCTGTAACAGTGACCACATGACTGCTATGTTCTCTAGTCCAACCATTTTCAGGGTGGCCCCATGCTCATATGGTGTACCCCACTCATCAAGGAGGTGCACCATTCCATTCCACCCTGTCTTTCTGTCCATGGGCATGCTACCTCTTTGTGGCTCAGCCTTACTTAAGCATCTTACTACCCATCACAAGACCCATGTGTCCTTGCTTCACTTCTGTTGCTGTGATAAAGTACCCTGACAAAAAGCAACTTAGGGGGAGAGAAGGTTTATTTTAGCTCACAGTTCTAGACTATAGTCCATCACTGCAGCAGGCGCTTGAGACAGCTGCTCACATCACACCCCAATCAAGAGCAGAGAGGGAAATAAATGCATGTCGTTGCCCGTGCTCAGCTTCATTTCACCCTCACACTTCAGGATGCCCTGTATAGAGAGAGTGCTGCCCACAGTGGGTCTTCCACATCCATCAATGAAGACAAACCCCAGCCCACATGCCCACAGGACAACCTTATGTAGACAATCCTTCATTGAGACTGCCTTCCCAGGTGATTCTAGGTTGTGTCAAATTGGCAGTTAAAGCTAACCATCACACCATGCAGCTGCCACAGTAGCAGGAAGGTACACCACCATACATGACATGGGGAGGAACAGCCATGTCAGGATTCCCCCACCAGATGTTCTACCCTAAGACTGCTCATCCTATTATATGCCTTCCATAACCAAGACCATGCAACTGCTTCTCCAAGCTCATCTTTGGTTCTGATATATGTCTGTTCAGGTACCTATTGTGTTATGGCTTTTCTGGGATGATGTGAACAAATGTTAATTCAGCCAAGATAGGACACCAATGAGCCTATCGAAGTTCACCCAGTGAATTTATTAGGCTTACTTACAGGAGTATGGGTGAGGGGTCACATAT